CTTATACCCGGCATTTTCCCGGGGTTTGAAAATATGTACGAAATACATTACTTTTCAGATTAACCATAAGTACAGTCAACCACAACCAACCAAAACCAAAATACAAACACTAAAACAAACGCAAACATAACGCAAACACAAACATAAAAGTAAACACAAACGCAAATACCAACATAACGCATACACAAAAGCAAACGCAAACAATAACGCAAACACAAACGCAAACATAACGCAAACAAAAAAACAAACACAAACGTAAACACAAAGATAAATACAAATACACTAGCCGTCCCGGCCAGGCCCTGCTCTGGCTTCTGTTCAAAACCTTTCTGTTAAAGACCATTACCTGTGTATTTAGTAATCATTATAAACCCGGCATTTCCCATCCAAACCACAACCAACCAAAACCAAAACAACAAAACGCAAACATAACGCTAACACAATTACAAATACAAACGAAAACAAAAACCTAACAACAAACCCAACCACCACCACAAACAACAATACAAACACAAAGAAAAAACAAACAAAAAAGCAAACGAAAACAAAAACCTAACAACAAACCCAACCACAACCACAAACACCAATACCGACACAAAGAAAAAAACAAACGAAAAAGCTAACGAAAACAAACCAAATCCAAACGCAAAACCAACCCCAAACACAAATACAAACCCAAAGAAAAAAACACAAACAAAAACGAAAAAAGAAAGAACAAATCAAAACGCAACCACTAACGCAAACCCAACCTAAACACAAAGAAAACACTAACGCGAACATAAACGCAAAGTGCTCACAGTCTAGCCCGGGGCGGAATCGCCTGTTTCAGCTTAATAAACGACTATAGTACCCCAACTTATTCATAGTCTTTTGCACTCACTTAAACGAACGTGCCCGTTTCAATTTAATGAACAATTATAATACTCCAAGCTTATCCGTAAAATACCTACAACATTTACACTTGATCATTTTTGTGAAGGATGATACATTTAATTTGATTTTGGGGTTCGGCGTGGTCGAGTCGGTCGGTAAAGCTCATGGCTGCTAAACCGAAAAGTCTCGAGTTAAAAATGAAACAACTGCTGCCTTGTAGTTTGTTCTTGCTTGGACAAAGGCTATGGAACAAATCCAAAAAGAAAAGCAGGCTGAAATCGGAGTCAATGGCCTCAATGGCGCATAACCAGTTGAGACGTATCCTTAATTGTGTGGGAGGGGGATCCCTTCCAACGCTAAAATTAAGAACAAAGAAGAAGAAGATTTAATTTTGTTCTTTGCACGTTATGTCAATTAAAATGATCAGTTTGGAAAATGAAACATTTTTTACAAAACAATAATTATAAATTTTCTTAAACCACTAATTTTGACTTAAGTACAAAAATAAACTCTTTAAGAATATTACACTATGGCGATCAACGAGTTTTTTTAAAAAAAACTATACGCATGTTTTACACGGATCTGCCGCAGTGTTCCAGACGTTTTTCTCCGGTGGGGGGGGGGGGGGGGCACTTGAAAGTTTCGGGGAGGGGGGGAGGGGGGCGGTGTATTTTCTTCGGCGGGGGGGGGGCTGACACTGTTAAATGTATATATTTTCTATATAAATTAGATTTCGTTCGGGGGGGGGGGGGGGTAGACTTTCTTCGGGGAAAGGCAAAGGCCCCCCCCCCCCCCCCCGAAGAGATGCCTGGAAGAAACTCTGATCTGCTGTCACACACAGAGCCCCATAGTCCTTTTCAATATTCTCATGCGACCTATTGTCGATAATTTTTGCCTGCCGGACCTTAGGGACACTTTTGTCACATGCTATCTCAAAAACTATTAAAGCTATCAATAAAACTTTAACAGTTTTGAATTCTACGTGTCATTTTACTACTAAATGTATGCTGTGAAATTGTGCATGCAATCATTAGTCAATTTTACTATATTATCATATAAGTGTGTTGTTTTTTAACTGGATGGATGGATGGATGGATGGATGGATGGATTGATGGATTGATGGATGGATGGATGGATGGATGGATGGATGGATGGATGGATGGATGGATGGATGGATGGATGGATGGATGGATGGATGGATGGATGGATGGATGGATGGATGGATGGATGGATGGATGGATGGATGGATGGATGGATGGATGGATGGATGGATGGATGGATGGATGGATGGATGGATGGATGGATACACACAGACGGTGAAACTATTATTATAGATGGATTATTATTATTGTAATTTTTTTATTACTATTATTATTATTACTTTTATTAGTAAGAAGCAATTTTTCCACGCACAATAACACACAACCCTGAAAAGACGCGTGCATATTAGTTTATTTACTCCATATGTCTTAATTCGATTAAACGGTTTTTCAAAATTTTACCTTACAGTCAATTTCTATCTATCTAAGGAGCGTTCTATGCCCAGCAAATTTTTCATTTGGTGTTGTCCTTGACTTTATAAATAACAGTCGTTTGCATGATACGATAGCGACAATTGTGGGCAGATTTTAGCCCACTGAGGCTGCCTATAATTTGCCGAAGGGAGTGAGTTAATCATCTCTGGATAAGTTTAAAGAGTCTGTGTTATATACGACCGCTAGAAATGCCATCTCCATTTTTCAATACATTTTGATGTTTATGTAGAGAAATAAGCTCTGAATTCGTTCAATTCGCGAGGTCTGGGCATGTGCAAAATGTTGTTCAACGGGCACATAAGATAGTGCCTCTTAAGTGTAGCAGTTTAATCTATAGACACCCACTTTACATTTCAGTTTGACGTTTATTACTGAAAGCTTAAATCCGGTGCAGGAAGTACCCAATATATTACATTTTTATCTACGAAGGCCGATTCATAATGTACTATATACCATTATTATCAGTGAAGTTGTTGTCGATTTCGACATTCAATAAAAAAAAACGTGACCGAATCATAACATAGATCTAAATCAAATCATACCAGCTAATTTTTTGCTATATCATGTTTATGATATATGGAATATTGCTGGTGTTTTAAATATCAGCTCAGTTACCCAATGATAGGTCATTATTAGTTCTAAAGAGATACTTTATCATAACGGAAAAGATCACTTCTTCTAATTAACTAATCGTTAATAGCCTACATACTTAAATTTTCTTCTTTTAATCAACCACATTTAAGCAATAAAACAGCGAGCAATTTTCCAATTAAATATTTTTAAATAAGAACTTTCCATTGAATGTTTACTATTTACATGTGACGTTTTGATATGTGGTGGGTTAGTTGTATGAAATGAGAGTGCGTGTTATTATCTGGGTTTAAAAAGAAATTTCATGATAAGTGATTAATAAGGGGTGTTTGTAGTACATATATCAATCCTATGATTAACATTTATCTTTATTTATTTTGGTAATACATCATCAGTATATAATATAGTATTTTAACAAAGGGGTGAGTCATGGGGACGAAGGAGATGCAGTTATGGCGGCAATATGATGATGGGGTCCTGGGGTTTGGGGGCGGAGAAGGTTTTATGAAAGAGGATGTGTTGGTTAGGATGAGGCGGTCCAGCCGACCAAAGCAGTGTCACATGTTGTTGTGTTGCTAAACATGGTATATGTGTTTGAATGCTGTTGTTGTCGAGTCGTCTACAATAAATCAAATCTAGTATCTGTCCAGTGAACTGTACATTGTCGTGTTTTGCTCTTATTTTACTGTTCCAAATAAATAGCTACCGTCCTTGCTTTTTGCTCTAGGTCCGTCCTATCTCTTTGTTTAGAGATTTTTGTTTAGAGTTATAAATATGAAATCTTGTCAGAACTCAGTCAACATAGAGTATTTTGATCAATTCCTATTACAATTTATTAAAACAGTTTCCTAAAACGCAAAATAGGGCTAAAACTCGTTTTATAATATTGCTTTTTTTATAATGCAAAAAAGTGACGTCACACTATCTGACCACCCTCCCTCCTCCTCACCACACACCGTCACAAAATTACGGACCCCCTCCCCCTACGAGTGTGACGTCATTTATGGACGACCCCATAGTGGGCAATAGGGTTTCTGTTGTTTTACTAGGGGTATTGAATTGTAAATGAGCCTGTATGTTATTTCCCTGGCTTTGGGTGTGATGGTTTTGAGGTGTAGGTTCCTGAATGTGTCTGTTGTGTCTGTTAAAGCGTATTTCCTACACCATTTATTTCTGTTGTATAGTGGGGTTGAGAGTTTATGCACTAAGTTTTTGTAAATGTTTTTTGATTTTTCGTGTACCTACAAGTTTTTTTAAATATTTGTAAGTATTCTGTGTAAAAGGGACTGTGTTTCTGTCCTATGTAATGTGGAGTTGTATTATTGATTTGTGTAAGTTGATTGAGCTGAATGCCTATATAGTATTGAGCTAGTGGGTGAAAGTTTGGTCATTAATTATTCTGCTAACGTATGTTAGTCTGAATGTAGTGATTTTGGTCTGTATATCGTGCAGGTTTATTCCTCCCTGAAGTTTGTATTGTACTAGTGTGTTATGGCTGCTCTTTGTAATTATGGTCTGAAATATGTACTCTCTGATGATTTTATTCTAATGTTTAATTGTTGGTTTTGAGATTGTTTTAGCCGTGGATATATAGAAAATTTTGGGGATAACGTACCTATTAATTATAGATGACCTAGCAAATATTGTTGTTGAGCTAAATTAATAAAGTGCTATGGTGTTTTTAATTTTGCTTGAGACTTGTTTCCATTCGTCATCGTTAGTGTTGTGTGGTTTGTTGTAGTGGTTTTTAATTTTTTTGTACCTATCAGGTTTAGTGAGTATTTGATTTGTTGGTCCAACGTCCGAGTCCCGAGATTTTGGTTTTCATTAGGTTAATGGTTGACCCACTAGCCTGCCCAAAGTCAAGGAAAGTGTCTGTTATTAGAATGATATATTTTTCGGTTTGGAGGGTAAAGGCTGTGTCACTAGCGTACGCTAGAATTTTTTCTTTGTTTGGTTTGGTCCCATACAATCATTACCCAACATATCAGCTTTCCTCGATAATCATAAACTGACACATCAGCTTTCTCAATACAATCATTAGCTACACCAGCTTTGATTGTAGCAATTATTACCCAATCCATCAGCTTTCCTCAATACAATCATTAACGAGTCGTTGTAAATTAGGGTTCTCCATAGCTGCAGATATTCTTTCCTTGTCATTGATCTGTTTGTTAATTTCATTGGCTGTTTCATGTGTTCCCTCCTTGATGTAGATGTCAACCTTCACTTTCTCTGGTAGACACTTGTTAAGTTTGGGTCTCATAGACAAACCAATGATTGAGGCAAGGTTACAGTGAGGAACTGTAGGAACAAGCTCAATGCGCACCATCAGCTGGCCTGTCTTCATTCTGAAGACCTCAATTCCTGACTCAGAGACCACATTCAAGTCTTCTAGAGAATCTGGTTTCTCTGGATCACGTATGGCACTGATGAGGTCATAAATTGTCCCTCGTAAAGTTTTCAATTCACGATTGTCACCATTTTTTAAATGATATCCTTTGTTTAAAGGAAGCCAGAAATATTGTAAACAAAGATATGGAAAACGATAATTGGAAATGAATTTTTAAATACAAATATCTAGAAAATTTACTTACGGTTTTAAAAATTCGTTCAAATAAAAATTTTACGTAGTGATTATAGGAATTAAACATTATTGGAGGATACAAATTATTAATATAAAAATTATTTCTAATAAATATTATTTGAATATTAGAAAAGCAATGGTTTATTTCGTGTTTTTTCTTTAATTGAATTTACGAGTTAAAACCTTAGTTGTTTCCCCTTGTAACATTGACTTAAAAATAAATATACATGGGAGGTAATATTTTGCGACAGTGTTGCCTAGGGCTTTTCACATTGCCAGAATGTGTCGTTATATTTTTCACAATAATTCTGTCCAGGCTAAAAAAACTGGGGATGTTTGAGTGTAGGGGTGGACGGGATGTGTCCAAGCAGTCCAGGAAACAATAGAAGCGAACCCCCCCCCCACCCCTCCACTCTGACGTAAATTTTTATTGTGTATTTTATATCCATCAAAGCCTGAGTTACGTTACAAATTACAATATACAAAAACAACAAATAATAATTTCAAAGTACATTTTTATATATAAGGCCTTATGAATGCGTTAATATAATCTTTTTTTTTAAATTAATTTTATTTGGATGAAAATTCTTTTCAGTCTCGCAAATAGTTTTAAAATAGCAAACTGAAACCTAATAAAAACAATTTCGCAGTAAATGCGACTGAAAACTAATTAACACATTCGTTTTATTTTCTTACTTTCAGTGCTTTTAAAGCGTATTATTTTAAAGGTTTTTGTATTTGTCTTACTTGAAGATTACGACGTGCGATTGTCAAGCGAACATCTGTGCCCTTTAAGGAAGTAAACGACTATACATTAGCAGTTGTAATATCTTCATCAAGAGAAGAGTTAGCATGTATGTCTAATTGATAAAGGTGACTGTAGTCAAAAATAGTTCACTCGTGTATTCCTTAGTTTGTCACATATATTTGGGCTACAAATTCCGTAAATAATTGAGATTCACAACCCATATCCCACCCCCCTCACTGACCAGTGCCAGTTTAATGTACGGGAGGTAAGGGAGGGTTACCTATGTCGGTACATGATTTATTATATTAGCAGGATATACATAGTTGTGCTAGGGGTTAATGGAGTATTTAAGTCATGCTGAAGAGTGGAGGTATCTCTACCATTACTGTATCTATCACTTGGAGTTTTGCATCTCCATTTTGTACGATATTTTAGGGCGCCAGTACATAGCATTGATAAGCGCGCCAGGGCTTTAAGACCACCAGCTTGCTGTTACAAGTTCGGAAAACCTCACCTAACGAAACCTATAGATTCCTTTCACCCAATCTTTCACATTGTATTGATTAGGGCGCCAGGCTAAATGAGCACCAGCTGCCACAGGGTATAAAAATTATGCCTCCGAAATCTCTTGATTGCGATTCCGCACGGGACTTATAGTCAGTTTGACCATTTTTTTTTTTTTTTTTTTTTTTGGCGTTTAATATTGTTCCTTCCACAAGTGGATAGGTTGCATGTTAAAAAATTACAATGTGATACATAGTATAACATTAAAAAGATTTACAATGTCTTAATATTCCTTCTGATTTCTTTGTTCCATGTTTCTTTGTTCCGATTTCTTGGTTCCATTTGTTTCTTTCTTGATTTTGTTTCCGGTTTGCTATGACATAAAGTACAGGACAGTACAAACATGATCGCTTCTCTGTTTTTTACCACGTTTTCTTTAACTTGCTTTCTCTGTGTGTTTATTTATTTATTTATTTGTTTGTCTTTCCAATCCAATCTTGCGATCGAAATTTCTGGCACTTCCCAGTTAGCTAGCGCGCTGAAATTTTCAGGGAAGCTTTCTTTTGGATGACCATTGAATATTCAATTGTTATTATTACTAAATTGATCAATGGAAACATTTTATTGAGCATTTTAGACCGCTATATAATCTATATATATAATTCTCCTCTGCTAGCCATTACAAAAAAAAACCAGCGACGCGTACCTCGCGCGCAGTGAAGCGAACGATCACATGTCGCCACAGGCTTAGGGGCAGAGAATTTAGCTTGAACCGAGTTTAAACTTACAGGAGGTAGGCCAGTTTGGGGGAGACGATATGGTCGAGTGGTTGGGCACACGATTGCTATCCCACTCGACACGGGTTCAAATCTATGTGTTCTAGTCAGTAACGTATTCAAACAACGTGTTTTTTACGAGTTGTCTTTTTACGAGTTGTCTTTTTACGAGTTGTCTTTTTACGAGTTGTCTTCGTTTACCCAAAAAAAGTGAAAAGATAAAATCGATAGCAAGATTTTAATGCAAACAAACAGACAAAGACTAAAAAGTAGAAAATAATAATCATTAAAAAAGTTTTTAAAAACCCACGTTTTCTGATTGAACTAAAAAGTAGAAAATAAATGCTATAGGCCCTACATCACAATAATGCAAGCGATCACTCTACTATAAGCGAGCAAAAACGTGGGGCGCCGTGATTTTCTTACAGTTTCTAATACTGTTGACTCTCTACAAGCTCCCTAATAAAAGTCAATAGTATTATCTAATCAATAGTAATATAACTTTTACTTCGGCGCCCCACGTTTTTGATCGCTTATAGTAGAGTGATCGCTTGCATTATTGTGATGTAGGGCCTATAGCATTTATTTTCTACTTTTTAGTTCAATCAGAAAACGTGGGTTTTTAAAAACTTTTTTAATGATTATTATTTTGGCCTTTCTTCTTTTGCTTGATACGCTCTTGGTTTGATAGTGGTTTATTCTTTGTTGGTAGTTGTACTTGGTGAGAGTGAGTTTGGTGTCTTGACGTTGATGGTGAAGTTGGTCGAATGGTGTAGAAATTGCGTTGAGGTGAGGCATGATGCGCATGGTGGTAGAGTTGTTCGATGAATTGAAGCTTGGGGAGATGAGATGGGTGGGTTCTTGTGTTGAGAGATCTTTCGAGGTGAGTTGCTTTGAATTATTGTTCATTGTGGATTGAGGAGGAGTAACGTTGTGACGTAGTCGAGTAATTGAGTTGGGCGAGGTGACGTTGAAGAGTGAAGTTTGCTGAGTCGATGGTTTTGAGCTTGGTGGAGTGATGATGAGGGCGAGGTAGAGCTGTTGGCGATTGTTTATTTTGAGTAGATGATCTTGAGAGATGGTTAGTTGATTTGCTAGTGTTTTGACGGAAGCTTCCCACCTAAGATTTCTCCGAGGTGGGTGTCGTCAGAGTGTTAGTGAGTTTGTTGGGAGCGAGGTAGATACGTTTGACGTAGTAGATGAGTTCGATTCTTGAGCGAGGTAGTTGCGTTAGACGTAGTAGATGAGTTCGATTTGTTGGCGATAGACAGACCTCCCACCTAAGATTTCTCCTAGATGGGTGTCGTCAGGCTGAAAAATAAAAGATTGAAAAGTTAGCCACTCGTACATTTGAAGCCACCCAATACAAGTACTGGGTGACTCATCTCGAGAGCGTGTGCGTTCGAGGGATGTGTGGGAGCAACCCCACAGCGGTCGTTTGCGAGATTTGCGTGAGTTAGAGTAGTAGGTTTGACCGCCTCTCGACCCCGGCAGCCAGCCCTAAAAAGGGCTGACCAACCAAATGGCTAAGATCCGTGTAGATCCATAACAGATACTACACTTTGATCTTAGCCAAAAGGCCGAGAAGCGGTAAAACCTCATAGTCAGTTTGACCATCCCATGTGTCATGAACGACAAAGGCCCTTTTATTACATCATGGTAGATTCGGGTTTCATATTAGAAAAATAATGTAAATTAATTATTGTTTTTCATAATATAGGTTTTATAGAATATAAATATTTAATTCTGAAAAAATTTACACAAATATTATTTTTATTATCTTAACTACGTTTTATTGTATATTACTCATAGATTATAATTTTAATTATTTAAAATATGTTACAAATGAATTAGAAAAATAAATATGTTTGCTTCGAATGTGTGTGATTTAAGGGAGGTAATTAAATAAAAAAGACGTCCTCAGCAGTCTCCCCTTTATATTCACCTTCTTACAAAAATATTGGGTTTGTTTTACCATGCTGCTTTGTTGAGTTGGTTCGTCTTTTCGTATGGTCTCTATCCTGCCCCTGTGTTCACCTTTGTGTACCATGTTTCCTCCTCTCTCAAGTTCGTTCATTTCTGTCCTATTCAATCTCTACTGGAGCTAAAAAATCTTTGGGTAATTTTATTTTGTTCACAAGAAACCCTTCCAGTGCTTTATTGTTACTGATTTAAGCAGCTAATTTAATGATAATTACTTGATTACACTTTTTGAAATGTTCGCGCAATTGATGTCAGGGATATTCGCTGTGAAATCTAGTATTGAGATTAAAAAAATGTTGTGTCGATATGGTCTTAAAACATAAACACCCCATTTGTTTTCTATTTCTCTTTGTTCAGAGTGAGTAAAGTAGCTTATGGTCGGTATTTAATCATGCGTGTTTCAAGTCTCTTTTGATGTCTTTGAACGTTTGTAGCATGCTGTAAAATGTAGCTTTGACTGTATTTTGGTGTAAGGTTCTATATTAAGTCTATTTATATGAAATGTTGCTTTATGTTTTCTGTTATTTTTAAAAAATGTTTCTGTTGCCCTCTCTGTGACGTTTAAGTTGAGTTATTTTACCTGTCAGGTTATTTTCGTCTATTATGTAGATGATTTCCTCTGTGATACTCTCATAATTGACAATGTGTTCTGTAATTTTTGCAGTATTTCATTAAACCAATAACTTCAAAATTTTCAGTAGGCCTACATGTTGTCGTGTTTGTATTGTGTATTGTTTTCCTTAATATAGTGTTAAACTACGTTAGGTATCTGATATAAGAATTAAGGAAAGTGCATAATGCGTTTCGTAAAAGCGTAGGGTATATTGAAAAATTGCTTTTTAAACTACTCTACTGGGAAGTATAATCCCCAGGGGATAAGAAAAGTAGGCTAACCCTAGGCATTAAAGGAGAAGGACAGTGGAGGGAGAAGCAAGGGCTGATGGGCTTTCGCGGACTGAAATGAAAAGTAAAGCCCTAAAAACAGAGTCGGGTGTTGTAGGCTTTTGCTTGCATTTCTCTCTCTCTCTCTCTCTTTTTTGCCGCGGGAATGTAATTTACAGTCTCAGTTTGACTTACCATGTTCTCTTCAGTATTAGAAGTCATCAATGTATGACTTTCACAAAAAATTCGGATTTCAAACCCTCCACCCCTCCCCCCCATTTGGACGTCCAAAAATATTTAGTAGATCTCACAAAACTTTCTACCAATTTACTATTTCAATAACATGTTTTGTGTACCTAATAACTGGTACACGGCTTTAGTATTTTCTATAATGTTTATTATTAGGCGTAAATATCAGAAATAGAATCTACAGGTGTCTTTATTTAACACGAGCAAAGTCGTCTTTATTTCATTTTTAAATGCACAATACGGATTTTATGTTTGTTTAAAAATGTTAGTACTTCGACATTAAGTCCGTTGTGTGGACTTCCGCATGGACCTGAACCCCCCCCCCTAGTGTGGACGTCATAAATGGATGACCTCTTACAGTTTTCATCATTGGTTTGTGAGGACTGATGCAGATTTAAAATAGTTATACTTCTTTTTGACTTGTACTTTCATTCATTTAAGATAATTTACTAATACATAATACAAAATGTCTAATTAAATTTTTTTATTTTCAAACTCGAAAATGCAACTATATGATTAAAAGGTGCTTCAATGTTCTATTTAAAAAAATATTTAAATTAAGTAAAAGGGCAGTTTCCTTTTCTGTGGGGTGAGTTGAGGGGGCAGAGGCTTAAAACCAGAGCTGAAATAAATGTGCTACTAAAAGAGGTATATAAATATTATAAGAACCATAGATGATATGTTGAGTAGTGTATTTCTTCCTAACATTCAGATTGTCAAGCTTGACCTATAAGAAGTGTGTTATAGTAGTTCTGAGCATTCGTTAAAGTAAGATTGGGGAAGCGGGCATGTCATGCATCTAAGGGCTGATTGATTAGCTAACTACCCCATAACTCCGTGGTGGATCGTATGGGCACCATTGTGGTGGATCGTATGGGCACCATTGTGGTGGATCGTTTGGGCACCATTGTGGTGGATTGTATGGGCATCATTATGGTGGATCGTATGGGCACCATTGTGGTGGATCGTTTGGGCACCATTGTGGTGGATTGTATGGGCATCATTATGGTGGATCGTATGGGCACCATTGTGGTGGATCGTATGGGCACCATTGTGGTGGATCGTATGGGCACCATTGTGGTGGATCGTATGGGCACCATTGTGGTGGATCGTTTGGGCACCATTGTGGTGGATTGCATTGGCACCACTGTGGTGGATTGTATGGGCACCATTGTGGTGGATCGCATGGGCACCATTGTGGTGGATCGTATGGGCACCATTGTGGACTCGTTCACATACCATGACACCAGTCATGACCCTCTAACGCCCTTGGTAGGTTTTCAAAGGACAATCCGATCCAGTTAATGTTGTCATCGAGGTATATTCGTCTTTGTCTCCCATGCTTCAAGCCCCTCCCCCCCCCCCCCCCCTCACGGCACCGTACATTGCAGGATGTCCCCGAAAGGTTGTACCACGTGTCCATATCTGAGAGTATTGGCTTGATGATGCTAAGCAGGTCTTGAAAAGGATTGATCACATTTGTGACTCTATCCCGTACCTCCTCACCAGTGGCGTCGCTATGTCGGGTGTCACCCGGTGCAGCTCTTCATGGTGTCACCCCCCCACCCGAGGAAACAAAGTATATATATATATATATATATATATATATATATATATATATATATATATATATATATATATATATATATATATATATATATATATATATATATATATATATATATATATATATATATATATATATATATATATATATATATATATATATATATCGGCCTACATAAGCCTATAGTTTAAATATATGACACATACTCGTACTTGTATGTGTGTAAAAGTTGAACATTGAGCACTTAAGATTAATGTTTATCTATAGTCTGTTAATAATACAGTTGGATGTAGCATTGTTTTCTCTATAGTTAGTGTTTTTAGGTCATGGTGTCACCAGAGTTTCTTCCAGGCTGCCCCCCCCCCCCTCCCCGAAATTTTTTTACCGCCCTGCCCCCCCCCCCCCCCCGAACGAAATGAAATTTATGTAATTTATGTAGAAAATATATACTTTTAACAGTGTTCGCCCCCCCCCCCCCGAAGAAAGTCTACCGCCACCCCCCCCCCCCCCCAAAAAAAAATTTCAAGTGCCCCCCCCCCCCCCGGAGAAAAAAGTCTGGAAGAAACACTGGGTGTCACCCCAACAATCTTTGTAATAATTGCCGATTTGTACTTAAAACACTATTTAACTTTAACAAATCATTAATGGAAATGGCAAAAAAACATACATTTTGTAATTTTTTTGCCTAGGTGTCACCCCCTAAATGGTGTCACCCGGTGCGGCCCGCACCCCCCGCCCCGCCCTCGCTACGCCTCTGCTCCGCATGTGATTACGTGATGCAAGTATGAAGTCAATAGAGGTTTACCTAATCATCTAATTTCTAAGGTCCGGATTAGTTTCTAATTTAATAATCAAAACTACTGTAAGTACATGTTTTTTTTTTGCAGTGGTTCTATACAACTTTTTAAGTCTGAAAATAACCAAGTAGTTTTTAATCAATTTCTTCGTTGTACTGCCCCTAATTAAAGGGGATCCAAAATTATTTTTCACATGTTTATTTTTAACAAGAACTTATGAAGTTAGAGGAAAAATTTATAAAGACAGCGATGCATAAAATTTAAGTGTCTCTTTTAACATATAGATGCATTTCTGCCACTTTTTATAAATGTGAAAACAAAATTTAACCCTTTTTTAATCATTTTTTTTATTTTTTACTTACAACACCGTTATAAATAATAAAAGTATTTTAAATTATCTCTACAGTCGTTTATATGTTTTGGTGATATTAATAACTAATTGCTTCCCCTTGTGCTTTACAATGTTTATTAACTAACATGGGAGGTAATTTATTGTTATTGCTACATCTAGTTTTATTGTTTAAAACGTTACCTATAGAGATGTCAAATTTTGCGACAGTAGATTGGTTTAACCTTTCAAATTTGAAGTGAAGTAGGTAGGCCTACCCTAACATATGCATAATTCACATGTCACGTTTTAGAAACATTTAGTGTTTTAAAATGAATTAGAACTAATAAAGAATTAGATTCTACATCTTTTCGAGCAGCAAGCAGTGTGTTTTTTCAGGCATCTCTTCGAGGGGTAGTGGGTGGGGTAGGAACCCCCCCCCCCACCCCTAACCTCCAAACACGTCTAACGCCCCCACCTCGATCGAAATAGCTTATAAAAAAATATATATACTTTTCCCAATGTCCCCCCCTCTTTGTAGACCTAGTCCGTCGTCGTCGTCCCCCCTCCCCTTCCCTCCCCCGAAAGTTTCAAGTGCCCCCCTTCCCCCCGAAAAAAAGTGAAAGAAACACTGCCTTCAAACAACTATTAAGGATGCAAGTGTTACACATAACATTTATACAGTATGACAAGCTGGTTCCAGATGAACTGAACAGGAAGTGGCAGCAGCGATATGGTTTAGTGACGGCGATGACCACTAGAACAAGCAGAAGGGTGGCTGACTTGCTGTTGTCAGGTACAGCGTTGTGTGCTGACCACTGGTCATCTGGTCAGCGTGGTAGCCCATACTGTAGCAGCCAGCTGACCCGCATGACGTGCACTTGCCGGCCTGGGAAACAAAGGTGTCGTTGAGGGTGAGTCTTGTTGGTTAGCCGTACCATCATACTCGAATTGCTAATACAAAGGGGGTGAGATGGTGGATGGTGGTATAAAATAAAATTTAATTAACACTGCATTTGATTATCTTTGATTTTATTATTCCGTTTTTTTTTAAATGTATAATTTTGAATATGTTGAATATGTTGACACAAAGCAAACCTTAATCTTTCATTTAATCACACACAAGACTGAAAAATAGTTTTAAATGAATATGTAGCTAATGTTGGGTTTTTTTTTTTTAAATTTGATTTTGAAGATTTATTTCTTTAAAATCAGTTTCAGTAGTCCTTTATAGTGTCTTGGGTTTATGAAGGCGGAGAGAGTAGTTTTTACAAATTTTATATCACACGATGAATAACCGTATGAAGACGTTCTACAACAAAAAATAAGGTAAGGCGGTGTTTGAATCATGTATTGTGCATTGTATATTATCTGCTTATATTAATCATGTTGTACCATCTACACCAGTGGTTCTTAACCTTTTTTTGGAGACACCCAAACCCCACCACTTTAATACGTGCATTCACCGACGAAAAATCCGATCGTGAATCACATGAGTCGGGTCTCTGGCTTGACTTCGTCGAACCCCTGAGGCTGATTCACCGAACCCCTGGGGTTCGATCGAACCCTGATTAAGAACCACTGATCCACACAGTTGGTTTATGCGACTCTTCAGTAAGAACGAGAAGATTATATCTTACGCATCGCCGATCGAGTGTGCAAAGTACCGTGTTCTACGCAAAAAATTGCACTAATTAAGGTTGTCAACTTAATTTTATAGCTTACCTAAGTAAATGTTTTTTTAGTAACATTACTAACATGAACGGAAACATTTTGAAAATAGACTTGATTCTACAATATATGGAAACACAGTGGAATGCTGGTGAAGCTACAATTGGGTATCGATTAATGTGCAAATGTTACAGAACGTTTAGCATGAAGGAAAACTTACATTGAAATCCGCCTCGCTACTGCAGGGGAAACTGGTAAAGCTACAGTTGGAGTTGATGCTCTCTATGTAGTACAGGCGAGCACGTACGTGGCTACACCCAAAGTCATCATTTTGACCTGCGGTTAATTAAATGATCAGAAACGTTAATGCACTTTTAAAAATGGCCAGCCAGGGGAATGTACTTTAAAATGGCCAGAAATGGGTTGTACTTTAAAATGGACAGAAATGGGAATGTACTTTAAAATGGCCAGAAATGGGAATGTACTTTAAAATGGCCAGAAATGTGAATGTACTTTAAAATGGCCAGAAATGTGAATGTACTTTAAAATGACCAGAAATGGGAATGTACTTTAAAATGGCCAGAAATGTGAATGTACTTTAAAATGACCAGAAATGTGAATGTACTTTAAAATGGCCAGGATTTGTGAATGTACTTTAAAATGACCAGAAATGGGAATGTACTTTAAAATGGCCAGGATTTGTGAATGTACTTTAAAATGACCAGAAATGTGAATGTACTTTAAAATGGCCATGATTTGTGAAATTCAAACCAAGCGCTGACCTTTGAGCAGGTAAAGCAGACGTAGAACGATGTTTTGGTCACAGCCTCGCTGGTCGTGTCCACCGTTGGGGTAGAAGTCTAAATGGCCAGATGGCTGACTCATGCCCAGACCTGAGGAGTCAGAACACATGAGTCAGAACACATGAGTGAAGCACATAAGTAAAGACACACAAGTAAAGACACACACGTCAAGACACACGAGTCAAGACACACGAGTCAAGACACACGAGTCAAGACACGCGAGTCAAGACACGCGAGTCAAGACACGCGAGTCAAGACACGCGAGTCAAGACACGCGAGTCAAGACACGCGAGTCAAGACACGCGAGTCAAGACACGCGAGTCAAGACACGCGAGTCAAGACACGCGAGTCAAGACACGCGAGTCAAGACACACGAGTCAAGACACACGAGTCAAGACACACGAGTCAAGACACACGAGTCAAGACACACGAGTCAAGACACACGAGTCAAGACACACGAGTTAAGTCACACAAAATTAAAAAGCTCAAGTTAAACACAAAGTCAAAACACAGTTTATAACACTTAACAGTCGAGCTAAAACTCACGAGTTTAAATTATTGGGGGAGGAGGGGTTAGACACAGACAAAGAGACACATGATGTGATAGTTTGACTAACAATATTCGACATTTGGCAGGTTTAAAGACAAAAATGGACACTGGCAAACAACAACGAAATATGACAGACAGTGACCTTCATTGACGGTACATGACCAGCTGTGACAGATATTTCTACCATCTTACCCCTTCACAATCTTCTTCGTAAGACAACTCGTATTTTAGTTACCTACGAGCTTAGTGTCATCTGTGTGAATGACGTCAACGAACTTGGCATCACTGGGGTCGAGCCTCACCCGAGGGTCGGTGTCGGCGAAATATGGACCAGCAGGATCTAGACCTGGGAACCAGAAGACATCCAGAGATACGATAATTTAACCAGTCTAGCACGACAACAACGGCTTGTACACACACACACGCACACGCACACACGCGCACGCACGCACGCACTCACTCACTCACGCACTCACTCACGCACTCACGCACGCACGCACACACGCACGCACACACGCACGCACACACGCACACACACGCACACACACACACACAAACACACACACACACGCGCATATATATATATATATATATATATATATATATATATATATATGTATATATATATATATATATATATATATATATATATATATATATATATGTATATATATGTATATATATATATATATATATATATATATAGACTGCATCACTAAATTTTAAATAAAAAATGTAATATTAAAATAAAATATTAAATGTATATATGTATATATATATATATATATATATATATATATATATATATATATATATATATATATATATATATATATATATATATATATATATATATATATATATATAAATAACGATGTCACCAGGTACACTATCAATAGTTCTGTCAATGTAGTGCGTGTCTCTCACAGGTAAACGTGGCGCCAGTTACCTGAAATCCTGGCAAGTCCGACAACTCTCTCCCCAGCATACCCGGCTATGTGCGCCCCTAGACTGTGACCAATGACATGGAAATCTCCTGCTGTAAAACTCTGAGTTTTCTGGGAGTTAAAAAAAAGCCACGTCAAATCTAGGTTTACATCAACACCACTTGTTGACGTATTCGAGTTATCAATTTTAGTTGATCTGTCCAACTCAATATTCATACCGTCCTTATATGCATCTATGTATCGTTCTCTCTATCTATATGTATGTATGTATACATATATACATATATGTATATATATTTATGTATATATATGTAAATATGTACATTATAGGGCGGGGTGGCCAAGCTGTAGAGCGCTAGACTGCTAGGCCGAAAGTCGAGTTCGAATTCGGGTTTATTAAGTCAGTACAGCGTCCCTGAGTCCACCCAGGTCTTCTCGGTACCCAACTCACGTAAGTTAAAACCTTATGCCGAGACCTTTGAAAAAGATGAACTTAACTTTACCCGCCCATGTTTCTTGGGCACGAAGCGGAAAAGATGACAGTAATATAAGTAAATATATATATATATATATATATATATATATATATATATATATATATATATATATATATATATACATATATATATATATATATATATATATATATATATATATATATATATATATATATATATATATATATATATATATATATATATATATATTATATAATATGTCAAGTAAATACTACCGCTCTTGTCCGCCTTATCTGTCCCAACAAGTTAGACTAAATCAGATTGATTCCCTACCCACATACAAAAGAACAAAAAAATATGTCCCCCTCACGTACAATCAGCCAGTTAATGAGCAGGGCGATCTGGGCCCCCACTACCCTGGAGTTGGCCGTGGCTTGTGTGTACGGGAAACCGTTTCCGTTTGACCAGTCCACGATGATGACGTTGTAGTCAGCGTACTGAAGGAACTCGTCTTTCATGTCCTGGGGTAGACGTATATAATTAATTTAACTTATTTAATTTTTAATTAGCAATTTGAGAACATGTTCGTATATTAAAGTCATAAACGATAGATTACAGAAACAGCAGTAACATTAATTTCTGATAATCGGTTTAAAACTGCCATATGATACACCGTTTATTAATCCTAACACAAAAGATGAAAGGCTAATGAAAGTCCTTGACATAATTGACACTATGGTTGTTCGTGCGGTATGCGTAGTTGTTACTATTTATTAAGTTAGTGATGTTGTGTTATTTTCAATGAACAGTACCAATAGTACCATAGTACCCCTATCACCTACCACAAAAGAGTAACATATCCACACTCATTTACAGATCTACAGTAACACCACTACCACCCCTGTTACAAATATATCCAATACACAAGAAACCACATCCGTATTATCATCAACACATATTTACCGTAAAACTCTGAGACACCCAGTCGCTATATATGCCAACAGACAGTCACACAAAGAAGCGTAGCCTCCACATGATTATTGTACACACATCTTTACATTGACATGTCCGTCATTGCCACACCTGCCTAACCCCATACACACAGCAACACTTACATACCCCATACACACATATTCTCTCTAATATACCCCCATAAACACTCCTACATACAGCCACACCTACACTTACATATCCCCATATACACAATCACACCAATGTATTCCTCACACACACATAGCCTCACCGACACTTACATACCCCAATACACACACCCGCATTCACCCACACCAACACCTACATACCCCTAAACCCTCAGCCACACCTTCATAACCTAACACACACATCCACACAGCCACATTTAAACCAAAATACCCCCCAGCAACACATACATATCCCATATACACACCAGTACGAAAACACCCCATACACATACCTACACCAATATACCCCCAACCCCCCCCCCCCACACACACACCAACCTACCCTTAGCCACCTGTGTTTAGCCGTGTTTTCCAGAAACCCGTGCACAATAAACTTGGTGGCTTGTCTCTTCAACCCTGGCCAGGTAGTAGCAGTAGTGTTGACCAGTCTGGCATCTAGATCTATAGAGTTGTTCCTCTTTTCTCTCGTGTACAGCTTGAAGATTGTTCTAAAGATAATAATGATTTTATATACATACTTAACAATGAGATGTACAAATCTACCTCTGTTATAATTTAAACGATCTATTCATAAATGCAAGCAACCAGCTGTTCCTCGTTTGTTTTTCGCAAACCTATTTGCCCAACATATGGCCGGGGAACAAATACTTTTTGTTATTTATTATGCAATCATTCCATTCAATTTATTCATCTATCTGTTCAATCAGCCTTGAAGGTAGTTAATTTTTTTAATTTTTTTAGTATAGGCCCTATTGGGTTTTTCATCCATCAGATAGTAATGCAATTATCGTATAATCACTGACGGCAACACTCGGACCTTATCCTACCTGTCATCTGAACATTTTCACAGTGGATAATTAAAATACCAAAACCTGGGGGTCTCGCCTGATGACGTCAAAGAAATTTTGAATCGACTGATGACGTCACAGCAATCTGATCTCACCTGATGATGTCCCAGAAATCTTAATTCGCCCGATGACGTCACAACAATTTTAATTCGCCCGATGACGTCACAACAATTTTAATTCTCCAGATGACGTCACCACAAATTTTATCCACTTGTTGACGTCACAGCGATCAGCTCACGGCATGACGTCATAGCGACATTGACTCACCTGACGACGTCAGGAGACTGTGGTGGCAGGGATATCAGCCTCTGCTCTGTGGAGCCGAACGGTTTGCCCGTGGGAAAACAGCCCAGCCCGAACTCGTCATAGCAGACGGCGGCACCTGTGGGAACAAGGCACATTCTCCGTGCTACATAAACATGGTTGGTTGGGAAACCGTGCTACATAAACATGGTTGGTTGGGAAACCGTGCTACATAAACATGGTTGGTTGGGAAACCGTGCTACATAAACATGGTTGGTTGGGAAACCGTCGTACATAAACATGGTTGGTTGGGAAACCGTGCTACATAAACATGGTTGGTTGGGAAACCGTGCTACATAAACATGGTTGGTTGGGAAACCGTGCTACATAAACATGGTTGGTTGGGAAACCGTGCTACATAAACATGGTTGGTTGGGAAACCGTGCTACATAAACATGGTTGGTTGGGATACCGTGCTACATAAACATGGTTGGTTGGGAAACCGTGCTACATAAACATGGTTGGTTGGGAAACCGTGCTACATAAACATGGTTGGTTGGGAAACCGTGCTACATAAACATGGTTGGTTGGGAAACCGTGCTACATAAACATGGTTGGTTGGGAAACCGTGCTACATAAACATGGTTGGTTGGGAAACCGTGCTACATAAACATGGTTGGTTGGGAAACCGTGCTACATAAACATGGTTGGTTGGGAAACCGTGCTACATAAACATGGTTGGTTGGGAAACCGTGCTACATAAACATGGTTGGTTGGGAAACCGTGCTACATAAACATGGTTGGTTGGGAAACCGTGCTACATAAACATGGTTGGTTGGGAAACCGTGCTACATAAACATGGTTGGTTGGGAAACCGTGCTACATAAACATGGTTGGTTGGGAAACCGTGCTACATAAACATGGTTGGTTGGGAAACCGTGCTACATAAACATGGTTGGTTGGGAAACCGTGCTACATAAACATGGTTGGTTGGGATACCGTGCTACATAAACATGGTTGGTTGGGAAACCGTGCTACATAAACATGGTTGGTTGGGAAACCGTGCTACATAAACATGGTTGGTTGGGAAACCGTGCTACATAAACATGGTTGGTTGGGAAACCGTGCTACATAAACATGGTTGGTTGGGAAACCGTGCTACATAAACATGGTTGGTTGGGAAACCGTGCTACATAAACATGGCTAGCTGTCAGACCGTGCCGCTATATATATATATATATATATATATATATATATATATATATATATATATATATATATATATATATATATATATATATATATATGACCCGAAACCAGTGGGACCTTCCTTATCATTCTTATAAATTAGAAACAATTCTCTATGAAATAGTTTCAATATCCTCTACTATTGACCATCACACCTAGATAGAAATATTTGTATATGTAGCTGGCTGTCTTTATCCTGATAACTTTAGATGAAATCATTACACAAATCAACTCATTATATGTGGATGCCAGAAAATAAATTCGAATCAAAACAACCAGTGTTTTTTTTTTTTAAATCAAGGTAGATAACTCTAGGACAGTAAAAAAACAAAAAAAAACAACTTACGTTTGTGTCTATCTGATAGAGAGTCGACCATACATTGTCCGTGAAGGCAGAACACAACTATGAGAAAAAACCTCATAGTTAACTCCTACCTCACTCTTCTACCTCACTCTTCTACCTCGCTCTTCTACCTCACTTTTCAGCAAATGTCACTGCAATAGAATAGAACAACCCAGGTAAACACGAGGTTGTAATGATTGTTATTATCGCATGAAACATCAGTCATTGACATGTGTGACAGACGGCTGGATGCACGGAGATTTGCATTCACACGGGGCTGTATTCTTTGCCTCACGTGGTACGGTTCAACAGCTGTAATTTGGTCAAAAATATAGTTCACCTGTAGCAGATGGTAATGATAAAGCCTTAGACCCAGATGCGTAGCGAAGGGGGGGGGGGGGGTGCGGACCGCACCGGGTGACACCATTTAGGGGGGTGACACCAAGGCAAAAAATAGTAAAATATATAAAGTTTGAGAGGGGGGGGTGCAAATCGAAAGTTCGAGGGGGGGGGGGGGGTTGCAAATCGAAAGTTTGAGGGAGGGGGTGCAAATCGAAAATTAAAAGTTTGTCCCCGGGAAGAGTCGCTACGCCACTGGGGGGGGGGGGGTGACACCATTAAGTGCCGCACCGGGTGACACTCGACCTCGCTACGCCACATCTTAGACCTAAAGGTCCGGGTAAAGGGAGTGAGGGGGGTTGATAAGAAAAACAAATGTCCCACTATATATTTGTTATCTCCGTTAAATCTAATTTCGCCGTGCATCAAATTATCAGTTTAATGTTGTATTGTAGCAGACAATTCAGTTGGAATATTATAGGGTCTATTTTATTTTAGCTATGAATATGAACGGTTGATATGTCATTTAGACAAACATCATGTCTGTAATCCTAAAAAAATGTTTCTAAAAAAAGCAGAAAGATGTTGAGTAACATTCGTCGAGAACAATGTTCCCGGAATTACGCTGGACAGCAAGTCGGAGTGCGTACGTGGTGGTGGTGTCCCGCATGGTCCTATGTAGAGAATTATATATAGAGATAGAATTAGCAACAGTAGTAAAATGTAAATGGTGATTTATTTATTTTTTTAATTTCCGTAGTGACATTTGTCGACAAGTTTGTTGATTTGTCATTGCAATTCATGTTTATCATAAGCTTATTTAGTTTACAATGTTAGTTTTTTCGTTTTTTTTTTTGGGGAGAGGGGGGTGGGTCGAACCTTGTAACTCAGGTTTTATCCCAATTCTAATGCAGCGGTTTTGTTTAAAATTTCATGATTTCTCTTACACAATGATATTGGCAAAAAAATATATATAAAATGCAAATACAGTTTACAGATGGAATACATTTTAAAACAGGAAAATGTGACATTTTTACACATCCACTAAACCAATATTACGTAATATAACATTCGAGTATCCTTAACATTATCACCATTCTCAAGCGACGACAAACCAACAACGAGTAACATCATTTTTTAAAGACGAAAGTGTTCGTCCCACCTTTATTTAAAGTAATTTCAAAGCTTTATATACTAAGTGTATTTAAAAAAAAACAGCTTGCATGCCTTTAATTTCATCTTCTTTACAAACAATGATAAGCAGCAGAAAAAAGGATACAGAAAAACAAAGTCCAGTAATATTACTAATATCTCTGTACCATGCCTTCTATTATATAATAAAAAATTTCAATATCTTAAGCGTTGAAGAGAGGGGATTTACATTTAAATCAATTAGTAAGTAATTTTCTTATCTTAACTAAAAAAAAAAACTTAAATAAAATAATAAAAATAATTTTTTTTTTGAGCAGTCTGATGGGTACTTGAATTACAGTTGGGAAAAATAAATTCGCGTGGGTATATTGCTGACCATTCTATCCATTCATTTGCCCAGGCCACATAAACAGCTAAACTCTACTTCACGGTATAATAGTACATTGGAAAATTAAATATATTTTCTTGAATTCCACTGTTTATTTGATGGACAATTATTTTTTTTTTTTTTTTTTTTTTTAAATACTTTTATTTGCAATTAAAACAAGTACATCAACATCAAATTTTTTAACATAATTTTGAACACCAAATGAAAACGAAAGGTTTTGCAAATGTACATAATGAATATTTACATGATGTCATATATTTGATTATAAAAAAAAAATTGCAAAGGATGACAGTAAAAGGGGTGAAGGTCAAATGAAAGTGTCAGAAGTCTGGGTGGGGAGGGGAGAGGAAATTTTTCAGAGAGGGTCAATGGGACAGTGAAGCATTTTCTATGTAGTTGATGGACAATTATAATGGACAATTAATTTTAAAACCCCACTCTCTTCAAAAGATAGATGTGTATGAAATTATCAACTGCAATAGCTCACTAAAAAAACGATGTATGATTAAATGTATTTTTACAATTTTTAAAAATATTTTTGAAGAAAAAAATAATTAATTAATTAAAATAATTAAAGCAACAATTTTTTGCGAGCCTCTAAAAATATCACCCATCCCCACTTTCCACATAATTTAAATTAAAATGGCAGATAACTATGCAATTATTGTTCCAAGCAAATCGAGTGGAGTTGCTAACCTTTAAAAAAACTTAAAGAAAAAAATGTTCAAAAGAAATAGATTATTACAAATAATGACAAAACAAGCATGATATTTTTTTAATAAAAGAAAAAGTCCGTTCATTGTGTAGATCCAAGCATAACAGCACTTATTACAGCGTGAGTTCAGCACTTAAGGTATTTGTAATAAGGATTCATATCTTACTTTAACAATAATGTTCAGTATTTTCCTCGGCTTGTTGTAATTTTTGACAACATTTCCCCCCACCTCCCTTGAATTTAACACAAACGTTTGACGACCACAAGGAACAACAAAGAGAGACTTAAACACAGATCGCCTCCAATCATTCTTTGATGGCCATTGTTGCCGACCAGTGGGTATACGGCAGCTGATGCGATGCCGCAGTGGTTTCCCTTATTCCTGGCCATCAACATAAATCCACTCTTGCCCCAGGTCGTTCCGTAACTGCAGGGAAGAAAAATGTTAATCGTGTGTAGAGTTGTTAATTGAATTTTAATTTCTACATCTCATTCATTTTCTGTGGATCAGTTTTACAATCAATATACAAATAACTATATATTAGCCATTGGATATCTCTACTAATACATCTCATTTACTTACTGTTGATCAGTTTTACAATTAATATAGCTAAAGTTACTATATATTAGCTATTGGATACCTTTACTAATATTTAGGTAGAGACTCACACTTTTCTTTATAGTTATTTAAATAGTCGTGTTTTATTGGAATAGTAGTAGGGCAGCCTACTAATTTCTGAAAATTTTAATTAATTCATTAAAAAAATTAGCCATCCAATTAAGTCTAATTTAATTGCTTTGTAATCGGGTCTTGACCCACGTGCCGAATTACAGAGAAAATTGATTGATTTCTCTCACCAGTTTAGATCTAGACCAGGGGTCTCCAAACTTTTCAGCCCGAGGGCCGCATTGACTATCAAAGTTTAGTTCGGGGGCCAGTTTCTTCCAGGCAAAGTACCTCTGCTATCACCCACAAACGTTTTTTCCGTGGACAAAAGGATCTCCGCGGGCCGGATGAGAGGACCTCGCGGGCCGCATCCGGCCCGCGGGCCGTAGTTTGGAGACCCCTGATCTAGACCGACAGTCAGATAGATATAAAGACAGAAAGACAAAGGAAGCAAGTTAAATAAAAGCTTGTAAATATATACACATTCACATTATTTCTAATGCTGATTATGAAACTGATCATTTAATTAACGCACAGAGAGGAGAATGAAACTATTAACTCGAGAAATAATAAAAAATAAATTAAACATGGGGAAAATATACTTTAACGATAGATTCAAGATTTACTACACAGTTTAACCTGAAACAAAAACCCGATAATATAGCTATAATTAATAATGGCCACTTAAATTAACCATAACCGAAATTGTCATAAAGTTAAATAAAAATTATTTTGTGTAAAATTATTTAAAAAAAAAGGGTTTGAATTTCCAGGAACCAACCTGTTTTTCACAAGCCAGTAATCCTGGCCTTTCAATGACCCATACCCAACCACTAGCACGGCGTGGGTCAATGTGTTTGAGCTGCAGTTTGGTGTGTAGTACACACCGTCGTCGTATAGGGCAAAGGTTGAATCATCGGCGTCTATGGTAACACTGACTGGACCAATCTAACGGACATTTAAAGATGATGATATAAGTTTGTACTTAATCGCAATTAACTAATTAGACACAACTCTTAAAGAAATATATAATTGAAACAGAGCTGAGCTTCCTATTCCCTGTCAACGCCAAGCTAAGAATTGATTCTAGCAACCTTGTTAGTACTGGCGAAAGAAAAACTTGATTTTAACAATACCTATTCGATCACCCAAATACAGAGCATCACCCAAGTAATTTTTTGAAATCCCCCCCCCCCCCCTCACCATCTTTACAGCATTTAAACGACTCTTCTTCTTTAATATAACTCAAGATTTAACTTAATTAAACCATTAAGTAGCAAGTACATAAAATGCGACAAAAATTACAGTAGCAACCGCTTCCTTCAGAGCATCTTCATCCCCGGGCGGTATACAGACGGATCCCCTGACTGTGGCTGCAACTGGTTTCCTGATATACTTGCAAAAGTTTTCCTGAATGGATAGAAAACTCATACATTATTATTTGACGTCAAATTAACCAGAATTAAAACAAGTTCTAAGACGAATTCGTGGTCGCAATGCCATCTTTTATTACTACTCACCGGATGATGCATTTTCCTGCACCTTCTGTTTATTGAGTAGATGTGCTAATATATGTCAAGTCACTATCAGGTCACTTAGAGTTGTTGCTCTAGTGAAATGCAATGACGTCTTGTTTTTTTTATAAGTTTGGCGTTGGTCAAATTTTGATTTGCTTCAAAAGTATTTTACTTTAAAGACCGTAACCTAACCGTTAATTTTGATTCGTTGCAAAATTATTCTAAAGACTTGTAGCCTGACCGTTAATTTTAATTCACTTGAAAGGTATTTTACTTTAAGGACATGTGGCCTGTGTTAATGTTACTGTTAAAGTTATAAGCTTAATGCAAGTCCCTGTATAGGTCAGAGTAAGTCCAATAGCACGTCATAGCAATAAGTGTTAGAACAAATCTCAGGGTAGGTCTCAACAATAGGTCTTCGAATAATATGTCGCAACAATGTGTCTTAAACAAGTCTCAGGTCATGTCTCAACAATAGGTCTCAGAAAAAAATTATTGGATGCAAATGCCTTTTATAATACACGTTGGATAACAGATTGATTATATACATTTAGAATGTGAAATTTTAAAGACCTTTTAACATAATTAGAGAAGAAATCAAAACAAAACAAAATAATAGAAAACATTTGTTTAAATTGTAAAACTCTTACTTCAGGTGTATACGGGTAGTTTTCGGCCGAGTCGATTCCTCCATCTTCTTTAATAAAATGAAATGCTTGGATCACGTTACCGCCATCACAACCATCATTGCCTTTAACAGTATAATTAATAAATCAATTGATTAGCAATGTTTATAGCAGATCATGTAACTTGCATAAAGAAATATCTCAGCATAAACTAGCGAATACAAAATTTCTTAAGACATATATATATATATATATATATATATATATATATATATATATATATATATATATATATATATATATATATATATATATATATATATATATATATACACACACACACACACTCACATATATATATATATATATATATATATATATATATATATATATATATATATATATATATATACACACACACACACACACACACACTCACACATATATATATATATATATATATATATATATATATATATATATATATATATATATATATATATATATATATATATATATATATATATATATATATATATATATATATATATATATATATATATATATATATATATATATATATATATATATATATATATATATATATATATATATATATACATATATATATATAAATAAAAAAATATAAATAAATAAATAAATAAAAAAAAAAATATATATATATATATATATATATATATATATATATATATATATATATATATATATATATATATATATATATATATATATATATATATATATATATATATATATATATATAATTGCAAACTTACCCGATGTTGTTGAACAATCAACCAGCTGTGATTCAGACAAGCTCGTTAGTTTACCAGTGGCCTTGAAATTTTGACCTTCCAATGACCCCACGGCCGAGAAAGCCCAGCAGGATCCGCACTCGCCTTGATCTTTGACGGGTGTGACGTAACCTTTCGAGCGCCAGTCTACCACTTTTGGAAGCTTCTTATTGGAAGATTTATTGAACATGTAAGTACAGGGATAATCCACATCTTCTTCGTAGAAGTCTCTGTTCACATAGAGGTTTGCTGCAAGCTAAAGTTAGTGAGGGGTAATATATTAGGGTGACAGTTTTGAAACATGATTTGAATATGAGGAGAAAAGTATTTAATTAATTTTTATACTTATCCACAACAAGACTTTAAATACATACATAATTTATTTTCATTGTAGAATATTGTTTATACAAACACCATTAAATGCTTAATTATAATCAATAGTCATCAGTAAAATGTTTCTTACCTCATCAGCAAACTTGTTCTCGTTTACCTTGTAAGTCAACACCCCTCGAGCGTACCTCGCGTTATGTTTTTCTATAAGCTCCACGTTTGATCTCCAGATCTCTCTCTTGATACGCTCCAAATGTTCCGGGTAGTTTTTGTTGTGTTTTTCTTTGTACAGCTCCCATCTTTCTTGTGTCGTAGCTGCAGCCATAGCTAGACATGCAGCTAGACATGCAGCTAGCATGAGATATGTGATGTAAAAGTTGGCCATCTGAAATATTATAACGTTTTTTTTTCATCATAGAAATTTAAAAATATATTTCACTGATTTTGCATATTTGACACCATTAGAGGCGCCATAAAAAGAGAATACTTCCTATCGATTCGATGCTTAATTACCCTGTCCTGCATATATATATATATATATATATATATATATATATATATATATATATATATATATATATATATATATATATATATATGTATATATATGAATATTGCTATCGATTTAGTAGGTTTATAAAAAAAAAGTAAAGAATCGGAATGAACACATACTTGTACTACTATTTTGAATTTTAATTCCACAACAAAGCTACATGTAACATAAACCACCAAACTGTATACACATCACAAAAAAAAACAGCAAGCAAGGTCTGTACCTAGCTGGACCCAAATTGTCCTGGCTGCATGGCTTTCTGTCTAGCCCTGACTGCAGCCAAGCCATGCCTTCTGCCTAGCCCTGACTGCAGCCAAGCCATGCCTTCTGCCTAGCCCTGACTGCAGCCAAGCCATGCCTTCTGCCTAGCCCTGACTGCAGCCAAGCCATGCCTTCTGCCTAGCCCTGACTGCAGCCAAGCCATGCCTTCTGCCTAGCCCTGACTGCAACCAAGCCATGCCTTCTGCCTAGCCCTGACTGCAACCAAGCCATGCCTTCTGTCTAGCCCTGACTGCAGCCAAGCCATGCCTTCTGCCTAGCCCTGATTGCAGCCAAGCCATGCCTTCTGCCTAGCCCTGACTGCAGCCAAGCCATGCCTTCTGCTTAGCCCTGACTGCAGCCAAGCCATGCCTTCTGCCTAGCCCTGACTGCAGCCAAGCCATGCCTTCTGCCTAGCCCTGACTGCAGCCAAGCCATGCCTTCTGTCTAGCCCTGACTGCAGCCAAGCCATGCCTTCTGCCTAGCCCTGACTGCAGCCAAGCCATGCCTTCTGCCTAGCCCTGACTGCAGCCAAGCCATGCCTTCTGCCTAGCCCTGACTGCAGCCAAGCCATGCCTTCTGCCTAGCCCTGACTGCAGCCAAGCCATGCCTTCTGCCTAGCACTGACTGCAGCCAAGCCATGCTTTCTGCCTAGCCATGACTGCAGCCAAGCCAAGCCTTCTGCCTAGCCCTGACTGCAGCCAAGCCATGTCTTTTGCCTAGCCCTGACTGCAGCCAAGCCATGTCTTTTGCCTAGCCCTGACTGCAGCCAAGCCACGCCTTCTGCCTAGCCCTGACTGCAGCCAAGCCACGCCTTCTGCCTAGCCCTGACTGCAGCCAAGCCATGTCTTCTGCCTAGCCCTGACTGCAGCCAAGCCACGCCTTCTGCCTAGCCCTGACTGCAGCCAAGCCATGCCTTCTGCCTAGCCCTGACTGCAGCCAAGCCATGCCTTCTGTTTAGCCCCCATTTTTTTTACCTTTGTTCATTATCACAACTTCAGTTATGTAGAAGCTTGCTTAATGGACAAGAACTAATTATTGACCTAACCCATCCAAACGAGAGCGCGTTCTTTTCCTTCTCTTCCCTAGTTAGATACAGGGCACTTTTCCTGCACTAATATAACAATGACGCGCGTTCAGGTCACATAAGGAGTAGATCTACCTTTGTTTGGTTCCTCCCAGCCTACAGATAGTGACAATATATCAACATCCAATAAGCTGTGCTAGTTTATTGTAGTGGCTTTTTTTAGGAGTTGGGATGTAGGCAATAGCGTCAGAAGGCTGGGAAACGCACTGGAAGACACCATTGAGTGGAGGGATGGGTGACACTTGCAATTATATAATATACTAACAAAGCCCACAGTATAAAGATATTGCCCATAGCATACAAATATGACGCACAAAATACAAGTATAAGGTACAATATAAATATATATATAAATAAATATATATTTATATAAATAAATAGCCCACAGTTAAAATTAATATCCTACAGTTAAAAATGTAACATACAATTACACATTTTAACCTTCAGTTAAAAATAGAGCGTACAATTTAAAAAAAAAACTTAACTATATTTAAAAATATAACGTACAATTTAAAATATAGTTTGAAAATGTAACGTATAATTTAAAAATGTAACCAATAGTTCACTAATAAAGGTCTTACCTCCCTTGTGTATGGACAATGCTCGCATTAGTAAGATAAGTGTTGAATATCATCCCGGTCGCTTTATATCTTGGATCGCTTGTTTCATGGAAATCACTTGTTAAATACATCCGTTTCAAGGTGGGTCCAATTTCTGTCTAGTATCATTACATTAAGGCAGGGAGATCCTCACTATCTTTCACTCTTAACATCCAAACGACCGACCGACCGACCGACCGACCGACCGACCGACCGACCGACCGACCGACCGACCGACCGACCGACCGACCGACCGACCGACCGACCGACCGACCGACCGACCGACCGACCGACCGACCGACCGACCGACCGACCGACCGACCGACCGACCGACCGACCGACCGACCGACCGACCGACCGACCGACCGACCGACCGACCGACCGACCGACCGACCGACCGACCGACCGACCGACCGACCGACCGACCGACCGACCGACCGACCGACCGACCGACCGACCGACCGACCGACCGACCGACCGACCGACCGACCGACCGACCGACCGACCGACCGACCGACCGACCGACCGACCGACCGACCGACCGACCGACCGACCGACCGACCGACCGACCGACCGACCGACCGACCGACCGACCGACCGACCGACCGACCGACCGACCGACCGACCGACCTGACTGACTGACCGACCATTCGACAGACCGACCATTCGACCGACCGACAGACTGACCAACCGACCGACAGACTGACCAACCGACCGACAGACTGACCAACCGACCGACAGACCGACAGACCGACAGACCGACAGACCGACAGACCGACAGACCGACATATTAGCAGTCAGACTCTCAAATTGTTAGGCGAATTATACAAATGTCATACAAAAAAAAAAACAGACAGAAAACAGACGTAGAGAGATAAAAAGATACAGCCATACAATATAGTCGCCATGTCTTCCAAGCGCGCACAACACTACAATACACTAGTGGTGTCAGGCTGCATCTTAGAGGCGTGTTCTCGGTCGTAAGTACAAACGGATGGGTTTTAATTGTTTGGGAAGCACGTGCATTTAAACTAAGTCGTAGTGAATATGCTTTTTGTTTCATCCATAGATCCTTTATTTTGTTCATCCTCGGCTTTACTGGGTCTATCAAATAAAATGAAATGTAGAGGTTATTGTCCCCTGACAAAATATTTAAAATAGCCTATAACTGTAAATAGGATAGAGGGTATTATTATTAAACTCTATTATTTTTAACGATTCTTTGTTTCAGTCAGTCTTGTTTTGTAACCCGTTTGTGTTTGTTCATCTTATATGTTGCGATACGCACTGGATCATCCGTAAAGGTGTGCCCGTGTATTCGCAACAAAAAATATACTATATTAAAAAAAAAAACTTTATTGTAATTTGGATCTAATATCCTTGCTTCATATTCAAATTTATAAAATCCCTAATTTCTCGCTAATTCGTATAAATATATGTGTGTTTATAAATGAAACAATTATAATGCCATTCTTGACTACATTTTTAAAATCTAATATATAAAGCTCAATTCTGTATGTAAAATATTTGTTTGAATAATTTGTTTGTCGTGGATACTTCAATGGATTTAAGTGTTAAATTATTATCGTGCTCACGGTCTAAATTTAATCTGAGTTAAAAAATTACTATTGAAAGTGTTGGGAAATAATTTTCATTTTTCAAACTGATAGTAATAATTGTCGGCATGTTCATTAAACACAATTTTTAAAAAATATCATCTTTTACAAAAATTCTAATTGTGTCTGAAAATTATTTATATTTAGCCCTTTAGCACTTACTTCCCTTTGATAAATTAGGAAAACACAATTACTTCCCTTTATAAAACATTGCATTAGTGGAAAAGAATTTACTTTTTATTACTTGGTTTTGGTGTTGGGAACCAAAAAAATTACATTATTAGCGGGGATTGATCAAGTGCAAATGTTGTAGGTATTTTACGGATAAGCTTGGAGTATTATAATTGTTCATTAAATTGAAACAGGCGCCCCCGCCGGCGCCCCACCAAGGTTCAATTTGGCGCCCTGGGTTATCCTTTGAGCGCTATGGTGCATAATTTTGCTTTAGACAGTGCGATAGAGTATGGATAAGAGTATGGATAACAAATGTTACTATAGTGTTTAAGTGAATAGAATCCAGACAGGGTGCTATTTGGGGCCCCGGGCCTCCCGTGTTCGGTTTGGCGCCTACGTTCGTTAAAGTGAGTGCAAAAGACTATGAATAAGTTGAGGTACTATAGTCGTTTATTAAGCTGAAACAGGCGATTCTGCCCCGGGCTAGACTGTGAGCACTTTGCGTTTATGTTCGCGTTAGTGTTTTCTTTGTATTTAGGTTGGGTTTGTGTTAGTGGTTGCGTTAAGATTTGGTTCGTTTTTGTTCTTTCTTTTTTCGTTTTCGTTTGTGTTTTTTTGGGTTTGTGTTTGTGTTTGTATTTGTGTTTGTGGTTGGTTTTGCGTTTGGACTTGGTTTGTTTTCGTTTGCTTTTTCGTTTGTGTTTTTTTCTTTGGGTTTGTGTTTGTGGTTGGTTTTGCGTTTGGATTTGGTTTGTTTTCGTTTGCTTTTTCGTTTTTTTTTTCTTTATGTTCGTATTGGTGTTTGTGGTTGTGGTTGGGTTTGTTGTTAGGTTTTTGTTTTCGTTTGCTTTTTTGTTTGTTTTTTCTTTGTGTTTGTATTGGTGTTTGTGGTTGTGGTTGGGTTTGTTGTTAGGTTTTTGTTTTCGTTTATATTTGTAATTGTGTTAGCGTTATGTTTGCGTTTTGTTGTTTTGGTTTTGGTTGGTTGGCAATGCCGGGTTTATGATGATTACTAAACACACAGGTAATGGTCTTTAAAAGAAAGGTTTTTCACAGAAGCCAGAGCAGGGTCTGGCCGGGACGGCTGGTCTAATATATAAAGCTCAATTCTGTATGTAAAATATTTGATTGTAAAATTAAATTTGTTTGTCGTGGATACTTCCATGGATTTAAGTGTTAGATTATTATCGTGCTCATAGTATACATTTATGAGTTAAAAAATTACTATTGAAAGTCTTTAAAAACAATTTTCTTTCTATATACTTAGAATAATAATTTTCAATTATGAACATTACATAAAATTTTTAAAAAGTCTATCAACGTTTATAAAAAATTTTAAATTGTGTCTGAAATGTATTGACTGCACAGTTACTTCCTTTAAAAAAATCATTAAATCGGGGGAAGAAAGAATTTACTTTTTATTACTTTGTTTTGGTGTTATGAAAAAATAAATTACATACATAATTAGCGGGGATTGATTAAGTGCAATGTCGTTGGTATTTTTAATACTGCCTTTTATTTATTCTATACACTGAACATACTGTTCACTAATTATTTTCTTAAATCAATAACATTTAATAAGCCAGGTCCTACAAATCCTATATTTTTATTTCTTTCCATTTACGGATAAGCTTGGAGTATTATAATTTTGTTCACTACATTGAAACAGGCGCGTCCGCCGGCGCTCCTGCACGGTTCGATTTGGCACCCTGGGCTATCATGTGAGCGCTATGCTGCATAATTTTGTTTTAACAATGCAATAGACTATGGATAAGAAAGGTTACTATAGTCTTTAAGTGAATTAAATCCGGGCGTCCCCCGGCACCCGACAGGGTGCTATTTGGCGCTTGAGCCTTCCCGTGTACGCTATGGTATCTACGTTCGCGTAAGTGAGTTCAAAAGACTATGAATAAGTTGGGTGCTATAGTCGTTTACTAAGTTGAATCAGGCGGTTACGCCGCACGTCGTCATGGTGCGATTTGGCGCCCAGGGCTAGACTGTGGACACTGAGTTTATCTTTGCGTTTGTGTTTTCTTTGTGTTTGAGTTTGGGTTTGCGTTTGTGGTTGTGTTTGCGTTTGGATTTGGGTTTGGGTTTGTTTTCGTTTGCTTATTTTCTTTGCGTTTGTGTTTTCTTTGTGTTTGTGATTGTGTTTGTGTTTGCGTTTGTGTTATGTTTGCGTTGTTTGTTTTGGTGTGTTTTGGTTTTGTTTGGTTGTGGTTGGGTTTGTGTTTGTGTTTGCGTTTGGATTTGTTTTCTTTTGCTTTTTTGTTTGCGTTAGTGTTTGTGTTTTCTTTGTGTTTGTGGTTTGGTTTGTCTTTGCGTTTGTTTTTGTGTTTTCGTTTGTGTTTGTTTTGTGTTAGTGTTATATTTGCGTTTTTTGTGTGTGTTTTGGTTGGTTGTGGTTAGGGTGGGCAATGCCGGATAAATGCTGATTACTAAACACACAAGTTATGGTCCTTTACAGATACGTTTTTCAGAGATGCCAGTGCAGGGCCTGGCCGGGACGGCTAGTATAAAAATAAATTACATTTTTCTGAATAATATAGAATTCATCTTTTATATACTTTTAATAAATAATATATATTGTTTGGTTTAATTAAATAAATAAGACTTAGCATAACACGCTGCAAGAATCTCTGATAATTACTGAAATATATGGCAGATAACTCTGTAAAAATAATTGTATGCAAATCGTTAGAGTTGCGACCCTTTAATAGTTAAACCATTACTTAGAAAAAAACAAACAACCTCGTTCATGTAAAAACAGAATTAGACTCTTCAATAATTTGCACAACATTAACTGATATGATATATTCTTATTTTATTCGGGATTTTTAGAACGTTATTTCTAAATTTAAACTACGCTTGGCAACAGAAAATTTACTAATCATCTATGAGAAAACACTAAAACAATACGAAAAATAATGTGGTGTCTCATATTATAGCTGTGAGGTTTTCCTGCATGATCGTGAGATCTATAGCCCATCCCAAAAGCGTTATTCGTGTTTCTGAACACAGGTAGCCATCTTCACCCCAATTAGTTCTATAGTGAGTAAAAAATGAAGGATAGTAAAAAAAAATTATTTAATCACCAGATCGGAGTTTGGTTAGAATGGGCAACTTGTTTTACTTAACCAGTAGTCAATGCAATTAAAGCGCCTGCAGCCCTCAATAAAAAAAAAACAGCATGATAGAATTGCGTGGGGTTGCAAGATTCGAGTAAACTACACCGTACTTATAAAGAGAAAAAACTGTCACTTCTAAATATGTTCCCGTACTAACAGACCCGGAGTAAGTACACATGGCTTAAAATATTTTTGTGAACAAAAATGTATTTAAAATCTCTAATTGTAATGTCACCATGAGAATACAATGTTATTGTCGTTTATTTCTTAGACCATCAACTCGCCTTAGTCATCGTCTTCTGATGTACAGACGTATCCAGTCATTGTAGGCCTAGCTTCTACATCAATGTTACTGAAACTACATTGTACTTGCTTGTAAAAAGTTATATAAAATAATTTAATGATAAGGCTTGCCAAAACAAGAGATGCATACGTTGTATTCAGTAGCGTACGCAGGGGGGGGGGGGGGGGGGGAGAGCAGGGGGAGCAGCCGCTCCCCCTCTGGCCATTTTCAGCAAAGTGGCGCCTTTTTTGAAACTTTTTAAACTCAAAGTTTTAAACAGTGATATTTGTTAAAAAGATATATTTTTGGTCGGCACATCTATGTAAATCACAAGATTTCTTTTCATGCAGCAATCAAGCATTATTGTACTGGTCTAGTATTGTCTACGTTCACAACACGTATTAACAGCTGCATCAGTTTGCCATTCTAAAAATAACCATTACGATGCATTGCAATGTTTAAAAAACCTCTACGGTAGTACCACTTGGCAAGAGGGGTGTTAAGTTTAAGGCAACTGTATAATGTATTTGCTTACGAATAATTGAATTAGAAAATGTTATACATAAAACTTCACACATAATTACTTTATATATACAGTTTGAATCGTGTGATTAATTTTAAAAAATTACAATACAGAAACAAATACAACTGATGTGGTACCTCTATTTAAATTTACTTATGAGCAAACTGCGTAGTGGTGGGGAAATTTTGACTAGGTCAACAACATCATTACGAGTAAGTAGTAGTATTCTTACAGTTTGGGCGATAGTGATTACGATTACAAATTATATGAAACAGTTACAACCCCCCCCCCTGCCCCTTGGACCCCTCTGTAAAAAAAATATTGCCATAATACCACTGCTACTTATTTAAATCTATTTCTGTAATATATATTTGTGTAATATATATATTTGTGTAATATATATGTATGTTTAGAACAGTCATCTAAAAACTGACGCTATGTTCACTCTGAGTTGGTTATCTCCCCCCCCCCCCCCCCCACACACACACCTCACCACCACAATTGTGTAGAGCGGCATTAATGTCACACCTAGGTATACACTGGGTTGGATAATTGACCTAAAGTGAAGTTGAACCCCCCCCATCCCCCCCCCCCCCACACACACACACCCCGAACTGATCTGTTAAGTACTTGTAGAAAAACGCGTAATGATGTACCAAAGCACCATGCCGCCAGAAAATTAGCTTTTTAAACGTAAAACTCTGTGAATATTGTTTTTGCAATTACCATTAAAAGGTTTGTGATCAATACAGTGATCTAACCCATATCTATCACTATTAATTTCTGAAAATTTTAATTAATTCATTAAAAAAATTAGCCATCCAATTAAGTCTAATTTAATTGCTTTGTAATCGGGTCTTGACCCACGTGCCGAATTACAGAGAAAATTGATTGATTTCTCTCACCAGTTTAGATCTAGACCAGGGGTCTCCAAACTTTTCAGCCCGAGGGCCGCATTGACTATCAAAGTTTAGTTCGGGGGCCAGTTTCTTCCAGGCAAAGTACCTCTGCTATCACCCACAAACGTTTTTTCCGTGGACAAAAGGATCTCCGCGGGCCGGATGAGAGGACCTCGCGGGCCGCATCCGGCCCGCGGGCCGTAGTTTGGAGACCCCTGATCTAGACCGACAGTCAGATAGATATAAAGACAGAAAGACAAAGGAAGCAAGTTAAATAAAAGCTTGTAAATATATACACATTCACATTATTTCTAATGCTGATTATGAAACTGATCATTTAATTAACGCACAGAGAGGAGAATGAAACTATTAACTCGAGAAATAATAAAAAATAAATTAAACATGGGGAAAATATACTTTAACGATAGATTCAAGATTTACTACACAGTTTAACCTGAAACAAAAACCCGATAATATAGCTATAATTAATAATGGCCACTTAAATTAACCATAACCGAAATTGTCATAAAGTTAAATAAAAATTATTTTGTGTAAAATTATTTTAAAAAAAAGGGTTTGAATTTCCAGGAACCAACCTGTTTTTCACAAGCCAGTAATCCTGGCCTTTCAATGACCCATACCCAACCACTAGCACGGCGTGGGTCAATGTGTTTGAGCTGCAGTTTGGTGTGTAGTACACACCGTCGTCGTATAGGGCAAAGGTTGAATCATCGGCGTCTATGGTAACACTGACTGGACCAATCTAACGGACATTTAAAGATGATGATATAAGTTTGTACTTAATCGCAATTAACTAATTAGACACAACTCTTAAAGAAATATATAATTGAAACAGAGCTGAGCTTCCTATT